CCGTCCATTCACGTCGACGTGGAACGAGGAGAGCTGTCTGATCATTGCCTGTTTAGATCGATTGCATGAGCAAATCTGGACCGTTCATCGCAATTGATCTCATCCGTTCAATTGCACCTAAGGAGGGAATGCATCTGAGTCGTTCACGCACGCGAGATTGAATTTGGGCTATCAGATTGTTGGGCATGCGGATCGCTTGCGTGGCCTCCCGCGTGGCACCGATGTCGGCATGTTTTGCCACGTAGTATGCTTTAGTTCACCGTGACTACTGACTGGGTCGTCTAACATGACTCTTATTTCTCTTTTTTATATTTTGACCCCCTTCTTCTAATTTTTCTTTTAAAAATATCCCCCAAACTCAAAATTTCACCACTATTTCCCAAAATTACTTTCAAGTTTTTTCATAACCTATTTTTTTCAAATAATTTGATAAAATAAAATTAAAATAATATTTTTAATTATTTTTATAATTATAAAAATTGATCCCGGGCTAAATGTAAGCCCCGAGCATTACAACTCTCTCCCGCTTAAGAAAAAATTTGGTCACTCATATTTGTCACCCTCACACTTAGTCAAATAGTTTGGTGTATTGAGTCATGAAGTCTTATTCTAACTCTCATGTGATCTCTTTCTGTGTGTGATTCTGTCATAGGATCTTGATAAAGGAAATTTCTCTGTTGCGGGATACTCTGCTCTTTCAGTCTACAATACCCACTGGTACCTCATAATAGGATAGATCTTCATTGAGTGAAAGGGGCTCGTGGGATAGGATGTGTAAGGAGTTCGTGTTGTACTTGCGTAACATGAACACATGAAACACATTATGGACTCTAGATAGCTCTGGAGGTAGTGCCAGTCTGTAGGCGGTCGTACCAATCCTGTCTAAGATCTCAAATAGTCTAATGAACCGTATATTTAATTTTTCCATCTTACCAAACCTACTGATTCTTTTGAAATGTGTGATCTTAATAAATACTCGATCAACTTTTTCAAATTCTAAATCCCTCATCTAGGTGTTCGTATAACTCTTATGCCTACTCTAAGCTATCTGAATGTTCTTCCTAATCTTAACTATTTTGATTGTAGTCTCCTCTACAAGATCTGAGTCAAATAATTTTCTATCACCCACTTCTTCCTAATAAATCGGTGACCTACAGGGGTGGCCTTACAATGCTTCATACGGGGCCATGCCGATACTTGCTTAATAGCTATTATTATAAGCGAACTCTATTAAAGGTAGGTGATCATCCCAATGTCTCCAAAGTTTAGAACACAAGCTTAGAATATATCCTCTAATCTGGAATCATTCTCTTTGATTATCCATCGGTTTGAGGGTGGAATGCAGTGCTAAGGAACACCAAAATCGAGAAGTGAACTTAAAGTCTCTGTCGGATACCATTGTCACTAAAATTCCATATAACTTGGCTATTTCCCGAATATATATTCTTGCTAGTTTGTCCAATAGGTCCATCATCTTAATAGCTAAGAAGTGAGAAGACTTGGTGAGCCAGTCGACAATTACTTAAATAGAATCATGTCTCGAGCGTGTCTTAGGCAACTTCGTCACAAAATCCATTGTGATATGTTCCCACTTCCACTTCGGGATCGGTAATGATTGAAGTAACTCGTTTAGGCGTTGATGCTCTATCTTAACTTGTTGACATACTAGACACTTGAAGATAAAATTGGTTATCTCTTTTTTTATCTGACTTCACCAAAATCGAAATCGCATACTTTGATATATTTTAGTACTTCGGCATGTATGGTGAACTTTGAGTTAGGAGCCTCTGTCATGATATCCATTTTCAGTTCACTGTTATCTGGAACACACACTTTGTCCTGAAACCTGAGCAACCCATCAACAGAGACTCGAAATTTTAGATTTACTCCCTATCCTTTTTGAGAGCTACTATGGTGAAATTGGTTAGTTGGATTTCCTTAATTCTCTAGATCAATTTGGGTTGGACAGTCAAGTGAGCCAAACATATAACTCTCTTCAAGTCCTGGAGTCGTATATGTTGTGCGACCTCTATTACCCTGCATTCAAAAACTATTAGGTGAGCTAACATACCTACACCTTTTCTGCTGAGCGCATTGACTACCATATTGCCCTTACCCAGGTGATATCAAATATTATAATCATAATCCTTGAAAAGCTCTATCCAAATGCCTATGACACATGTTGAGATCTTTCTAAGTGACTATGTGCTTCAAGCTCTTATGATTAGTATAAATCTTAAAAGTCTCTCCATACAAGTAGTGGCGCTAGGTCTTCAAGGCGTGGATAATGACAGCAAGTTCTAAGTTGTGGGTGGGGTAATTTTTATCATGATTCTTCAACTGCATAA